CTTCTAGCTCCAAAGACACAACGCAAGCGCAATATACGTCGGGGGAGGTCCTTGTAGTCTGTAGGAAGCCCCGAGGATTAGGCCTACAGAGAGCGGCGAACTCCGATTCATCTCCTATAGGGTCTAGAAACTGAGTGTTTCCGTAACCCCGATGCAATGCACCCTTTTTCCGAGTCCGAATTGGCTAGAACGCTTTATGTTTGGAGAGACTGCATTGGTTAATTGTCTTTCCGAACTAATGTCTTCAATAATAGCTATGTGGGTTTCAGTTCAGCTTGACCACGACAACATTTCTGTAGTGGCGACGGTCTGGCTTCCTTCATTCCAAGCAAACCATTCCGGTGATAGTGCCATCAAGTAGGATCTGTCGGAACAAAGTAAGTCGTCACTGCTTACGAGTATTGCTGTATGGTTGAAATGGGATGGTTGTGCTCGCGAGAACGGTGTTTAGAGCACGTCATTCAAGGAAGTTTTGATGCCTTTGTTAGTCTGGGAAGCTTTGTTTGGTGCTAACTTATTTGGGGGGGGGGGACCACGCGGAGGCGCGGCGCTCTGTTCGTCTGCTCCTCCAAGGCTAGGCTGGTGTCAGAGTCCGCGATCCGTCGCAGGTTTCGCTGATTTTCGCGATTTCGCGATTCACGCGATTTGCGATTTGCGCGATTTGCGCGATTCACGCGACGGGTCACGGAAATCACAAGTGCCCGATCAATACTGCAAGGTGTTCTCCAATCCTGCCGCCACTTCTGCTTGATAGTGATGGCTGAATGACGACTGCTCATGAATTCCACTTGTTTCATGCTCTGTGTGAAGCCTGCGACGGATCACAGCAATTGAAAGTGCCCCGATCAACCCCCCCCCCCCACTTTTTTCACGTTATAGGGCAGAATCACGAACAGTCGTCTTTCAATCTTCACTGTCAAGCAGAATTCGCAACAGGATTCGCAAGAACTTCCAACTCCTGCGATCCGTCGCAATTTTCGCGCAAATCGCGAGAATCGCGAAAATCGGTCAAATCAAGAAAATCAGCGAAACCTGCGACGGACTCTGGCGCCAGCCTTGGTAAGCCGAGCGCGTTTCAAAACTGTCACCATGGGCGGTATTCAATCCTTCCCCCAGGGGTTGGGGACGGAAATCCCTTTAAATTTATTTGTTTTTAACGATGTAGTTTCTTCATTTTCAATGCATGCTTACTTGACATACATACATACATTAAACCTAGGCCCTTTATCAGGACAATCCCAGTTGGGAAGACAGAGAAAATTTAAAGGGATTTTCGTCCCCAACCCCTAGGGGAAGGATTGAATACCGCCCCATGTGGCGAAATAGTAACTGTCCTTTGCACTTTGCCTTAGGGGAGCAGACGAACAGAGCGCCGCGCCGCCCCCCCCCCCCAACTAAGTTAGCACCATTTGTTTTTCATATCGAGAAGTTTCCCTAGGCTACGGTCGAATACTTTGTTTCCAGATGAGGCCGGTCCTCCTAAATTGGATAAGAAGGAGGTCACTTTCGAAATGTGCATCACAGCTTTGTAGTAAAAATGAAGCTACGGTCCCCAGTGTGAGTAAATTCCAAATCAAGGAGGTGACTGCATCGGACACTCCCATAGAGAAAACGTCGCTCTCAAGAGGTCTTGTAATGAACAAGTTCGAAAAGGTATTTATTGCTATGGTACATTGTTTTGGTTTGTTCTTTTTTTTGTATTACGCCAATTGCAGGAAATTTTCTGCTGTATGTCATTTTCTTTGAGATGTCGGTCAGGCTCTGCGATTGCATCGCGCGATGCAGTCGCTCTGCCAAAAGTGCAAGCGGCGGGCAATGGCCCGCCGCGATCGATACCGATGTCGACTGCATCGATGTGGGCGGGGCCAATCGCCCGTCGCTTGTGCACATTGCAAGAGCGACTGCATCGCGCGATGCAATCGCAGAGTCTGACCGACATCTGACCTTTCACGATACCCTTCGATCTTACAGGACTTTATGATATATCCTGAGTATACGGACACTGACGACGTGAAAGCCATTCAAGGTTTCACCGAAGTTTTGAAGAAGACGCTAAGTTTGACAGGTTAGCATAGGAACGTCGTAGTAGCTCGCTTTTCTCCTAAAATAGTTTCACATGATCAGATCTTCCGTAACTCAGTATTTCTTTTAGTTGATCATGGTGAGCTGGAAAAACAGGGCTGCTTAACTGATGCAGTCAAGGGAGCGCTGAACGACAGCGCAGTTTTCGCGGCACTAATACCTTCGGAATACGGCGGTCTCGGTCTGGGATATAAAGACCAAGTGAAGATATTTGAGGTTAGAGCGTACTTCATAGTTGTTGCATTTTCGCAATATGCATGGTTCCAGGATCTGAGTCTTGATTGGAATATTTACGCAAATGTAGTGGCCGTGAATGCTCTGACAACTACGTTATTATTGTACGGATCAGACAAGTTGAAGGAGAAATATTTTCCTCTCATTAGCAGTGGGAAATGCCGTCCTGTTGTCGCTTTTGTCGATAATTCAAGGTACGCTCTCTATGATCTGAAAGGTTGCAACTTCATTGCGAAGATTTCACGTAATCTGGTGTGCAGTTTTATGAGCAGAGTATCTGTACCGCCTATGAGGCACCGAGACAATTCTTGTGAGGGTTACAGCGTGGCACCCACTCGTATGGCGCAGGTCCAGCTTCTATTATAGTATTGACGTAGTTGGCCGCCTCATTGCTCTAGCGATCCGTTATACACTTAGATATCTGAAAGGCACAAAAGGGATCAAAATGGTTTGACCAGTGCACACGGACATAGTAGAGGTGCGAGGTGGAGCGGTACTGAAAATGCGAAGGAGTGTCGGAAACGCTACAAAGGACTTATTGGCTTTACAATGCGACTTGTTAAGGCAGAGACACTTAGGAGTGATCATTTTGTACTCCTACTGACTAGTATAGGGCGCCATTCGTTGCGGGACCCACTGCCTTAACCCGCGGGGATCCCATGTGATCGCGGTTGAATTCGAACATTCCAGCTTCTCACGCATGTCAAGTGTCTGCCCTCACCCCCCACCCCCCTAGACTGGCGACACTGCCCCTGGCTCACGGATTCCCCGCTCCACATTGAAGGGTTCACTGTAGCAGGAGGCAGTGGGACCCGTAACGAATGGCGTCCTTTACTAGTCAGAAGGAGTACAAAACGATGCGTTCGCACTGAGCAGAGGAGAGAGCTAAGTGGGAGAAACATCATAGGGGAGGGCGCAGACACTCGCTTGTTGCCAACGAGAAAAACAAAAATGGACTTCGGAGGGAAGGAGGGGGCTGGCATGCGCTTTTGTCGCGCACCTTCAATTGGGAAGAAGAAGAACAAAAACAACTTTACCCCACTTGCAAAGGATTGGTACACGTCAACACGTCGCGGGTGGCCTTCAAATTTGAAATCAGTGTTAGCGTCAGGAATGCTGCTCATATGACTCCTTTTGAACATTTGTAAACAATCTGTCCAAAAGAGCATTTTGCAACTGCCTTATCGCTTTATTTTGAAATGTGTTGGGAAATCTCTGGCTACTTTGGACTTCGTTATGGTTGTTATGTGGTTGCAAAATTTTGCGCTTCATCTAATTTTTTTTTCTCGAGTTCTATTCCGATTATAGCTCATCACGTGCTGAAGTGGTCGGTGGATCGCGTACTCAGTCCTTGATTAGGCTCGAAAACACGCGTTGTATGGGGATGCATAATGCTAATTTAGCAGTTGTGTTTGCTACTTCGGCGCACCATCAATCCGTGAGTGGTTTATATGAATTGTCTTGAATTTTCCTTCGCTTTGTTTTTTCTTTCGTTTACGGCTTTGTGCCATCCTATCTTCGTCTCAAATATGATTGGGTTGGAAATAAAATTCTACAAAACTTTTTTTCTCAGTTTTCTTCTTTTTGTAAAAATTTCAGAAATGAGTTTGCAACCAAGGTGTATTAGAAAATTGAAGCTCCTATACACTGGGTAGATATGAATGCGAAACCAGCTCTCATTCATGAAAACCCACGAAGCCCTGATGTCAGAATTCTGTACTTCAAGTATTGTCTACTCCAATCTCTTAAATTCCATGACTCCACGACAGCGATCAACAGCATCTGCAACACTTTCATTCGGAGCGTTACTTACCGTTCTACCGTGTTCTTCCGTTACCGAAGCTTCCAATCTGACTACATTTCATTCGAGCGTCGTGCGCGCTTTGGACTATGTTGTTGTTGCAATTGTCAGAGGTACTCGACGACGGGTCGCACGTCATGAGCACCATTGTGACGGACAACCGCTATACATAATACCAGAAGCCGACCCATGATTCATGGTAAACACCGTAACACTTACTCTTCCTGCCAATTCGCAGTCGGCCAACTTCTAGAGAAGGAGCACTGACGATGAGAAGTGTTTGAGCGTTGGCAGCAATTGGTTGTTATACTACGATGTTGGATATTCAGTTGTCTGAGGTAGAGTGGAAGAAATATATGAAACAAGAATAGATGGTGATTGATAGAATCAAGATATAGCTAAAGATGATTGCAGATTTGCTCTCCAACCCATTATCTTAAGTGCAATCGTCTGTATCACCTATTGATCATTGTTGTGACGGGCAACAACAACGTCTCCATTCGTCTCTGTCGCATGCAAGAGGGTTCACTAGATCCTGCTCGCTGGTGGGAGGAGGTTAGGGGAGGGTACGCTCCTTTCCATTGCTTTCGTGAAGAAGTCTGACCATCGGGCCGGCGGTCGTCCAGGTGTTCGTTTGACGTCCCGAGGGATCCAGTCGGTAACCGCTCTGGTCCAACGGTTCATCGCATGACGTGTCCGGCCCACCTTATCTTCGATTCCTTGGCGAAAACGGCAGTTTTCCTGATATTTGACCGTGAACCTAGTGCGAACCTGGATTCCCTTCTGCCTTTGCCTGTGCAGGAAGATTGCAAGTATCGTTCCCAGCAGCGGCGTTGGATAACGCTACCGGATGCCTCCTGCATTCCCGTCGCGAAGTCCTTGCAAGCGTAATATTGGGGCAGTGAGACTGCGAATCGAAGATGGAAAAAATTTGAAGTCGGAATGTCCTTTCTTCTTGTCATTACTCTTATTGATGTTCTCAAGCTCCATCACTGGCCTTTCCTCTTGCTTCAGCCTATGGAGTTTGGTTGAGCCCCGAAACTAACAAGGAAAGTCCCTCGAGTCGCCATGGCCATTCGAGAAGAGATGTATACTCAGGTATGCGTCTTGGAACGCTGATCTCGAATCCGTCTCCCAAATCTGCTAAACGATCCGGAGAGAGAAGTTAGGGGGGTGGTTTCACCATGGAGGTCCAGTTCTTAATGCTACTCGACAACCAAGCAGTCGTGCTTCGGTGGCGCAGCCGGTAAGCTGTCGGACTTGCAGGAGCAGCACCAAAGGTTCGGATCCTTGATGCATGTGTTGCTTTTGCATTTGTCTTAAAATATTTTTTAAACGTTTGCAAAACAGTTTCGTAGCCAACTTTGACTATTCCAACCCTTCTCTTGCCTACATGAGGTGATTTCTAAATAGAAACTCCTTTCTTGCTCGATTACCTACGGAGCCGCATATAACCTCTCCCAGCGTTCAAAATACAGGATGAATTCGAAATTTTTGAAGCATCACTGTAAAATATGCATGACATAAATATTCACAATTGGCTTTAAAAACGAAGTCATAGTTGAATAAGTCACAGTAGAAGTAACCTCAGGAAACTAGTTTAGAAAAGGATAATAGAGGTTGAAAGTGGTCAAAGTTGGCTACGAAACTGTTTTGCAAACGTTTAAAAATATTTTAAGACAAATGCAAAAGCAACACATGCATCAAGGATCCGAACCTTGGTGCTGCTCCTGCAAGTCCGACAGCTTACCGGCTGCGCCACCGAAGCACGACTGCTTGGTTGTCGAGTAGCATTAAGAACTGGACCTCCATGGTGAAACCACCCCCTAACTTCTCTCTCCGGATCGTTTAGCAGATTTGGGAGACGGATTCGAGATCAGCGTTCCAAGACGCATACCTGAGTATACATCTCTTCTCGAATGGCCATGGCGACTCGAGGGACTTTCCTTGTAAGTACACGAGCATTCGAGATGTTCGTTCCGTCGAGCATGATGACTCATCAGGAAGCAATCTGTTTCTCATAAACATAATCTTTATTAGGTTCAGCTGCAGAACGACCTTACCTTGACGCTCACGTAAGCCAGCATTCGCTCCTCTTGCTCGATGTTCTGTTATAAGAAACGATGTCGTCAGCAAAACGAAGGTGGTGTAGTTGCCGGCCGTCGACCTTCACTCCCATGTCTTCCCATTCCAGTTGACGCATGACGTTCTCGAGAGCGGCGCTGAAGAGTTTGGGCGAGATGGTGTCGCCCTGTCGAACCCCTCTTCATGTGTTCGAACCAATAATGACCTCCGTAGAATGGTGCATTTTTGGTTATAAAGTTGCAGTAGCTTAAGCACAACAGTCGCTAAAATTCATACGATCTTTAATGCACGCGATCACTAACTTCTATCAAGATGCTGCGAGCCAGATTCGTTCATTTCAATTCAATTGAAGACATAACCCAGTAAGACACTACAGTGCTAAAACGTGGTTCACCAAGACCCCACGGTCTTTATGTATCTGATCTGTATGGGCTTGTGAATTGAGGTTTAAGTCACGCTGGCTGCTGTTCGAACTAAGTTCCCTAGCTGGTCGTGCCATGCTTTGGCTATAATTTGGCACCAGACGCGGTCGCTTTCGGCTCAGTGGCGCCCCCTACCACAGCGTAGAATCCGCCGGTCAAACCCCCGACTCGAATTTGCTAGTCGGCGTAGATCACCACGCTTTCTGTCTGTTTGGCGGGTCAGTCAACTGCTATCAAGCTCGTTGAAAAGGAGAAATTATTAGCTTGTACTTCGATTGGACTTGTACTGGACCCAGAGATTTTGTTGGGCAAGCCCAATTTGAAGTTCTTGTTAGTGGGGATACAGTGGAAGTGTGCTTGCTTGTCATCCCGCTAACACATCTGTTTGCGTTATGCTTTCTTCTTTCCCCTGTGATCTTTTTCCTGATTTTTCAGTGAATTTTTCTTTCAGAAGAGAAATATTATTCCTGTTACTTAATTGATCGCTCTGAGCTCAAAGGATACCGACCAGTGGGAGTTCAAACGCGATGAAACAACTGGATTGAAAGCCTGTGATAGTATGCTCCTAATGATCTGTGTATTGTGTAAGATTACAAGTTTGTAACCAAACTATACCTTCCAAACTGATGTATAACATGTTTGCAGTTGGATCATTGACGATTTCTGCTTCTCTGACTGAGGAACACCTAGTAGGTGAAATCGGACAAGGAGTCGAGGTAACTGGACGTTTTCGACTATTGATAATTAACGCTGAAATTGGATGGCTAAGCAGCCGTTTTTTCCTGCGTGTTGGTTGCACGTTTGCATCATTCGGAGATAAAGTCAGGCATTTGTCTCGGCAGAATCCTCCAAGATAGACGGAGGATTGCCCGCGAGTGGAAAACTTATATGAAACGAGTAGCATGGACTGTAGATACGTTTCTAAAGAGCCATACAATCGGAGATTAACCAGTTCGTAGTCATGAAGTGTTTCCTATTTGACTATTTTTGATCACTAATCAGCTTCAAACAATGCCGTACAATCGTTGACCTAATCAGCTTCATTAATGCCGTAAAAT